TCAGTGGCCAGAGATACTTTAAAAATTTTTTTCTTTTTTATTGATTTTTAGAGAGAGAGAAAGGGAGAGGAGAGAGAGATAGAAACATCGATGAGAGAGAACATTGATTGGCTGCCTCCTGCATGCTCCCCACTGGGAATCAGGCCCACAACCTGGGCATGTGCCCTGACCAGGAATCGAACCGGTGACCTCTCAGTGCATGGGTCGATGCTCAACCACTGAGCCACACCAGCTGGGCCAGAGATACTTTTAAAAGGCAAAGCTGGCCCTGGCCGGTTTGGCTCAGCGGTTAGAGTGTCGGCCTGTGGTCCGGAGAGACCCGGGTTCGGTTCCCGCTGGGGGCACGTACCTTGGTTGCAGTCTGTCCCTGGCCCTGGTTGGGTCGTGTGGGTGGCAGCCACTCGATGTGTCGCTTTCACATCGATGTTTCTCTCTCTCTCTCTCCCTCTCCCTCTATTTGAACAAAATATCGAAAAATGTCCTCGGGTGAGAAAAAAAAAAAAAAAAGGCAAAGCTGACCATACTGCATGGGGTCACACTGTATGGGAACTCTCTGTACTGTCTTCACAATTTTCCTGCAGATTTGAAACTACTCTAAAATAAAAATAGTTTATTTAAAAAAATGTTTAAGAAGGCAAAACTGAGTGTATAAACCTTCTGCCTAAAACTATTACTGGTATGTGTGTGTGTGTGTGTTTACACTTAAGAGAAAAATCCCAAATTCTTCCCATAGCCTACAAGACCTATGTGATCCAGTCCTGCTTGCCTTGTGTAATGCTTTCCCCTTCCCCTGCCCAGTCTCATGGGCCCTCTTAGTCACAAACCATCAGGCTCCTTGCTGACAAGGGACAAGCTGCTGTCTTTGCTCTCCACCTGGCGAACACCTCAACCAGATTTCAGCTCAGTATCATGTTTTCAGAACAGTGTTCTTACATCATCCTGTATGGTCTTTTGGAGCACATGTCAATTGCAATCACATTTGTGTATGTGCCTTTAATGTCCATCCCACCAAACATAGGAGCTTCAGGAAGAATGAGGCCATGTGTCTCTTGCTTCTGTTGCTTAGCACAATACCTGGCAACTCTTAGGTCTCATACATAGTTGAATGAAGGAGTAATTAAATGAGGAGTACATCAGCTTTTATGACATTTTTTTTGCTTATCACTAGAGAATGCTACGCACCCAAGCAATACAAATAGAGGGAATTATAATGTTGCAGTTTGCTTAAATTAAAAAAAAAAACACACACTAAACTGTAATTTGTGTATGTGTATGGCATTGAAAAGTGGTCAAAACTTTCTCCCAATTTTTAATAGTTAGGAAAGACTCACAAAGAATTACTGACTAACACATAAATTGAGAATAGGAAAAGAAAAGGAAGAACTTTGAAAGATATTTTAAACCTACTGAATTCATCTGTTGGCTAAATTTTTAAAATGTTGGTATAGAAATTTCAAATTACATTTTAGCAAAGTAAAAAAATAATTTTTGAAATAGTTTTGATGCTTTATTTTACACAGTGCTACATACTTGCTTTGCTAAAGAATTGTGAGTCAGAAGGCAAAAAGGGATTCAACCAAGACATTGTGATGAATTTTTCTCTCTCTTCCTCTCCATTTTAAATGAAAAATGTCTCTACAGTTCTGTAATATTTTTAATCTTTGGAAGCCTGTCCAGTATATTTACTTCCCATGATAGAGCTTAGTCAGTGATTTCATCAGCAAAGAGACAAAAAGGCACCAAGTAGTGTATGTGCTGGACCAAAAAAACCATCACTCTAAAATAATGTGCCTTATTTGACTTCTTAATAATATATGTAGCCTGACTTCTCCCAATAAAAAGGAGCTCATTTTACTTGTGTAATAGGCATAGGAAGGCCCCCAGATATCTAGAACTTAAGGAACGCTAGAGTTCAGAAGAAGATTGTAAAGAGACCTTGCCAGTGCCCTGATTGCAAACATGAGAAAGCCTGGTGAAATGCTCACTTTCCTCTGGTCACTTCCTCCTTACAACTCACCCCTTCCTGGTGGAATTTGAAGGATGATACACAAAAAAATCTGGAACTATACACATCAAACTGTTAACAGCAGTTGCCATTAAAGAGTAGAAGTGAAATAAGACATACATACATTTCCTTTACAGTATTATTTTAAAAAGCCATCAGTGACTTAAAAATATAGTTTATAGACACATTATTTGACTTTTGGTTTTCTCAACTATTTAGCTTGTACAATTTACTGTACTTGGTATTTTTGATATTTTATTAACTGAAAAATGTTTTAAAATTATAATCATTAATATTCACTTTTTTCTTATTTTACTGGCTCTTGATCCCCTTGAGGATAAAAAACCTGAAGCTTAGATTCTCTCAGGGCAAAAGCTTCCTTCATTGTTCCATTTACTACTCTGAGTTTCAGGTGCCACTTAGTTTGAGTGTTCCTCACTGATGCTTTTGTGAAGCTTTATGGTAGTTGTTTGTTTCCAAAATTTATCTAGCAAGTTTAGTTGTTTTCAGGAAGAATGTTGTTTTAGGTACCTAGTCAGCCATTCTGCTGGAAATGAACCTCTCATAATTTTTGTACCATATATATATACTTTGTGTGTTCCATACTTTGTCAGAGCTGTGGAATGGTATAATAGCCAGAAATGCTTATATGCCATTCATTAGAGTCACCTTCCCTTCAAATAGTATCCTTAGAGTTTTAGCATGTATTTTATTTGATGAGTTTTTTGCAAAATTCAATTAAATATTGATAGTTTTTCCAGGTTAAAGTTATGATGGGTGTGGAACTGTGTGGGGCCTTGACTGCCCATTAAACAAACAACTGATCAGAGCAAATTGAAATGGACATTTTGAATACACTGGCTGCCCTCCTGTACGTGCAGCTTCTCCTCCCACACTGTCCAGCTAAAATTGGATGGTTTTACACATGTGCCCTTATTAGGCATTCTAATTTCATAGGGCCCACCTGTCTTGTCCTCAGTGCAGCCTTATTCCCTAACTGGCTTAAATAAGAAAACGGCAAAACTGCATCCCAGGAACTGGTCAGGAGGGTATAAATGAATCCTTGTTGCTTAGTATTATTCTTAAATAGTTCTGAAGGAAACCAATTTTTATGGTTTGGCTGAAGAGCATTTAGCCTACTCACTTTACTGAAATAAAATCTAAATCCCAAATGAAGTCAGGGAGCTGAATACCTGGATTTAATTGACCTTCCCATAGAATGATTCTACCTAACTGCTCTTTGGGGTGATGTCATTGACTCATGAGTAGCAGCCCATGAAACAGCATCTCTGTTCTTCCCTCAGAAACATTCAGGATGTTCATTACATAAGCATTTCGTTTCTGCTCCATGGGCCCCCAAGGGTGAATTTCCTTCTGAGTTCCTAGAGCAGTTTTGTTGTAGACACTCAATTCAGGGCTCGATTTTGTCTCCCTTTTTTCTTTGGCTATTGAAAAGCTTAGCATCTTGAGAGGTCCTCTCCTGTCAAGCGTATACAACTTTATAGAATATAATTTTGTTTATAAATACTACAGGTTTGAATTTACTCTCCTACCCTTACTTTTCCTTTCATTGATGTTTTTCCATATTACTTATTTTAAAACCATTTTGAGTACTTTTTGGAATATAGTGGGTATATACAAAATCATTTGATTATTGTTTCAGATATTGCAAATCAGTGTATAACCATGTTTTAGAAATGAAATTATACAATTACATATTTACTTTTGCTTATATAAACATTGTCAAGATCTAGAAAATTAGATTGCAGTAAAATTCATTGTCTCTAGACCCGGAGGAACAAGTGTGCAAAGACAGTGAAGATCATTATGATTTCTGAGAAGGACTGCAGCTTGTTCCCTCATTGGTTTAAATAGGCAGATTTTCAAAAGTAAAATCACTCTCCTTAAATATTTTGTAGATTTCAGTAATCTGATAAATGAACTATTGATTCATTGTCTCTCTGGTACCACACAGTAGATTATCCATAGCAACAATCCTCTTCAGACTTAATAAGACCAACTCTGTATTATTTATTAGGAAAATAATACCACCAGGTTAAACAACCAACTGTTGGTTTTGTGTATTTACTCTCTTTCAAAGAGATCTGCTGAACCTCCAGTGTGTTCCGTGTTGTGCATCATTAGTGAGGCTGAATTGGAGTATAACTCTATGATTCTGAATGTATCATTTTTATGATGGGTTTAGAATAAGAAAGATGATGAGCAAATAAAGCTATACAAATAAAGCACTATTTTGTGTGTTGCAAATCGGGCCAAATTCTTCTCTGAACAGTAGAAATCAGATATATTATGGTAAATATTACCACTCCCTGTCTATAGAGGATAAATAGTATACTTCATATTGGCCCAGGAAAACACATTTCAGTTTTTCTTGACTCTAGAAATTACATTGACATGGAATCTATAAGAAAGGCTGTGCCTCAAAAAAAAAAAAAAAAAGATTCAGAATTACGGAGCTATTTTTATAAGAGAGCAGATTCTTTTTTAAAAATTTGAATTGCTGTTGAAATGTAAATTAAACCTAAGATCTTTTCATGTCAGTCATTGAGAAATGGAGTAGTATTTAAAATCGCGAAATGTTAGAGAACATGTCTTCCAATGTTTTTTTTACAGCAACAAATGCTTTCAGAAATTGCTACAAAAGCCTGGTCTCTCATCTCAATTGTCCTTGTGCAATATATAAAAAAAAATAAATTAAAACTTGTTAAGTTTCACCCTACAAGGTATACTAATTGGAATATAATAATTATTTACAAGGTTAGATTGCTTAGTAATTCCATTTTTTATATAATAGAGTACAGTGTATTTTGTTTTTATTCAGTTTTTAATGTAGACCAGTAATGGAGCTCTGCATTTATGACTTGGTTGAACCTATTCTGATAAAATCTTTGCTATGTTAAATATCTATCTTTTTCTTAGGTAAATTTTTTGGTAGTTTTACCACTTAAATTACTTTTTTTGTTTATATTTACAGATTCTGGAACTTTTCAAAGCCTGACCCTCTCCTTGAAACAGTGGACCATCATACAGAGTTTACCTGTGGTTTAGATCTAAGTCTTCAGAGCCCTACTCAGGTAATGGCTGCAATCTACTGAGGTTTTTTTCTTCCCATGCAGTTCACAAATAGCTGTGTGTGTGACATGCGTTGCTTTCAAAATTATTGCCTTTAGGGAAGAGCAAAGTACATTTACTTAACCATCCTGATCTCTTTTGTGTAAAACTGGAGCGTTTGAAATACTAGGAAAGGAGAGGTATCAGAAACGTGACATATCTCTCTCTTCTTCGGACTTTTCTGAGAGGAAAGAGAACCTTCCCCAAAAGCATTGAAGTCTTGGAGTAGACCTCTCTCAGTGGAAAGGGTGATGAGAAGAATGGAATGGGGAAGGATGTCTCCAGAGGTTGATGGAGTCGAGAGTGTGTGGTCCTCAGTTCAGCTGTCCCACAGGCATTTGAGATGATGGGCAAGTCTCTCCCCCTTCAGGACTGTCACCCTCATCTCCCATGATGAAAGAGAAGCTTCTGATGGGGGACAAAATAAAGTGCAATGGCTACTGTTTTAATTAATAAACTTTATATTTCCCACTTTTTGTTCTGTTGAAGACTTGAGAGTTTAAATATTTAGGTTTTTGTTTTTTTTAAGCTCTTTCAGTTTTGGAAACTCAGGTAAAAACAATAGAATATGTTGAATGATAGGGCACTTTGTAACTGTGTGAAAACACTAACATATCAATGAAACAATATAATATGTGGCAATTTTAGAGTACGGCTAAGAAATTATGCTTTTATGACAAATTTTAGAAATTAGACAAACAAATTCCATTTCTCATGACTGTGTTCTTAAACCTAAATGAACACATAATTTTTTTTTTTTTTTTTTATCCTCACCCGAGGACATTTTTCCATTTTTTTGTTCAGATAGAGCGGGAGGGAGAGAGAGGAAGAAAGAGAGAGAAACGTCGATGTGTAAGGGACACATCGAGTGGCTGCCACCCGCACGACCAACCAGGGCCGGGGACAAACTGCAACCGAGGTACGTGCCCTTAGCGGGAACCGAACCCGGGTCTCTCTGTACCGCAGGCCGAGGCTCCAACCGCTGAGCCCAACCGGCCAGGGCTGAACACATAATTTTTATTTTTGTTTTTATGTTAGGAATTTGAGATATAATTCTGCATTCAAAATATTCTCATTGGACATTAGAATAGTCTCATTAATACTAAGATAATTGTTGAAAAATGACTTAATAGCAACTAAGAGCAGAAGTGAGAGTGGTGGATGAAATGGCATTGTCTTTAATGTAAATACAATGTGCTTCAAATGAACTAGGCTTTTTCTGAGAAATGAATCTATTATAGATGATTTTTAATAAAATATTCATATGTGTTTGCTCTCCTAGTTAAGAAAAAACCTGTACCTATTGAAACATGGCAATACCAAACAAAGAACCCTAAATCAGTATTTTTTCTCTCACGTGTTTCTGTAACCACGAGTCCCAGCCTGGGGCCTGAGGCGCGGCGCATGGGCCTCCACTTCCTCGGCCTGGCAGTTCCTCACCCAGAAGAGCCAAGTGTTTTCTTAATCTTCCACACACAGACCACCTTATTAAAAGCAACTTTGTTTTCAGGGGATTTACTAATTAGATTTTATGCATCTTTAAATAATAAGAGAGTTTATTACAAGGTCATATATTTTATGTGTAGTCTGGTGACTGCCGCTCATCTCTTCCAGTTGAGCAACTAGATTCCATTTGTATTAAGGAAATAGTTGCTATTGAGAACAAATAGGAGTGGAGAAGCAGGGTCTTCAAACTCTCAATAAGCAACAGGTTCACTGGCATAATGTACAGTTCAGCCATGCGAGAAGTCTCCACTGAGACTTCATAGTGGGACAGAAACTTGGGATTAGGAGGGACCTTGGAGATGAGACCATGAACTCACTCTCATTCATTTATTCTTTCCACAGATATTTTTATGTGCCGCACCTTGTGCTAGGCACTGGGGATTCAGTGGGGAATGAGAATAAACACGGGTCCTGCCTTCGTAAAGCATTTAGTTCACTGTTACATCAAATACGCTCATGAATGAATGTAAATGACAGTCATGACAAATCTATGAAGGAGAATTATGTTTTTCCTCAAGAGTTTATAATCAGGGTGGATATTTGACCTATTTAAGAAATTTAGAAGGAAGTGAGGATCATCAGAGATCTGATTAGTAGGCATTAACCATATGAAGAGACAGAAAGAAGACAGATCATAAACAGGCAGAAATAATAGTATGTCATAGACCCTGTGATGGGAGGGAGCATGGCTAGTACTTGAAAATGAAAGAAATTATTTCTTCCTTATTTATGATATATTCAACATTAGAATTTAAGGAAAGGTATTTGTTGATCTGTCATATTTTTTAAAATGGAATGTTGAGATGATAGTGTTAGTCAGTTTTCTATATATAATTTTTTGCTATGTGTTATAGGTCATACACATGAAATTTTGAAGAATTTCTATTTAATGCATCTTTTACAATGAATGTATTTTTAATCTTTTCAAAGTATTAGTTACTATTTCTATTAATACTCATTTGACATTCATTGATTCATTCATTCTGTCATTTTTTTTAGTATCACAGCTGTGTGGGACAAGAAGTTACAGTATAGTGTGATAAATGCTAAAACAGGGAAGTGAATGATGCTTTGGGGAAATATGTGCTCATTTATATGTGATATGCATCATAGTATTATAAATATTTATCAGGTGCCTACTAAGTACTGGGCATTGTTTTAAGTACAAAGGAGAAAGCAGCAAACAAAACAGACTGTATTCCTGATCTCATGGAGCTTATATATTGTGGGGGAAATAAAATAATAAACAAGTAAACAAACAAGATGGCTTCATAGAGTATTAAATACTATTCAGAATTGGAGCAATTTTATAGAGAAGATGCGGGAGGGTGTGCTTTTGCTTCAATGATCTGGGGAAGGCTCTCTGAGAAAGTGAAATTTGAATTGAAAATCTGAATAAAGATATGGAGCCAACCATTGAAAAATCTAAGGGAAGAATATTTTTCACAGAGGGAAAAACAAATGTCAAGTTTTTGAGATGGTAATGGGTTTGGTATGATTAAATGACAGAAATAAGGTCAGTGTGGCTGGAGTCTATGTGAATGAGGGGAAGAGTGATAGGAATTAGGTAGTTGGCTCAGTTGGTTGGAGCATTGTCTCATACACCAAATAAAGTATTACTGGTTCGTCTCCCCATCAGGGCACAGATCTAGATTGTAGGATCAATCCCCAGTCGAGGTGTGAAGAGGAGGCAACTGATTGATGTTTCTCACGTCAGTGTTTTTTCATTCTCTCCCTTCCTCTCTTTCTAAAATCAATGAAAACATAGCCTTGAGTGAAGATTAAAAAAAAGAAAAATTACCCTGGCCGATTTGGCTCAGCGGTTAAAGCGTTGGTCTGTATCTCAGTTGCAGTTTGTCCCTGGCCCTGGATGGGTTGTGCAGGTGGCAGCCACTCGATGTGTACCTTTCATGTCAATGTTTCTCTCTCGCTTTCTCTCTCTCCCACTCTATCTGAACAAAAAAAAAGGAAAAATGTCCTCGGGTGAGGATTTAAAAAAAAAAGTGTAGGGCCTTATAGACCATACTGTGTTTGACTTTCTTGTAATTGTATTATAAAGCTATTGGAGATTTAAAAGCAGAAGAATGATAGAAATTGATTTTTTTATTGTGGTATAATTGACATATGAGTTTCAGGTATACAAGATAATGATTCAGTATTTGCATATATTGTAAAATGATTACCACAGTAAGTCTAGTTAACATCTGTCACTACACATAGCTATAAAAAGAAGTTTTTTCCTTGTGAGGACTTTTAAGATCATTATCAACTTATCAATAAGCAATACAATATTATTAACTATAGTCACCATGCTATATATTATATTCCCATGACTTATTTATTTTGTTAACTAGAAGTTTCTGCTTTTTGACCCCCTTCACCCATTTTGGTCACCCCCAACTCACACGTCTGAGAACCACTAATTTGTTTTCTGTATCTATGAGCTTGTTTTTGTTGGTTTGTTTTGTTTTAGATTCCACATGTAAGTGAAATCATTTAGTATTTGTCTCATTCTCTGACTTATTTCACTTAGTATAATTCCCTCAAGGTTCATCAGTGTTATGACAAATGGCAAGATTTCATTCTTTTTTTATGGCTGAATAATATTTCATTATACATATTTCACATTTTCTTTATACATCTATTAATGGACACAGGTTGTTTCTATATCTTGGCTATTGTAAATAATGCTGCAGTGAGCATGAGGATAGACCTATGTTTTCAAATTATTCGTGGTTTTGATTTCTTCAAATAAGTACCCAGAAGAGGAATTGCTAGATCATATGGTAGTTCTGTTTTAAATTTTTTTGGAGAACCTCCATATTGTTTTCCATAGTGGCTGTACCAATTTGTTTTTTTTTTTTTTTATCCTCACCCGAGGATATTTTTCCATTTTTTGTACAGATAGAGTGGGAGGGAGAGAGAGGAAGGGAGAGAGAGAGAGAAACATCGATGTGAAGGGACACATCGAGTGGCTGCCACCCGCATGACCAACCAGGGCCGGGGACAAACTTCAACCGAAGTACGTGCCCTTAGCGGGAACCGAACCCGGGTCTCTCCAGACCGCAGGCCGACGCTCTAACCGCTGAGCCAAACTGGCCAGGGCTGTACCAATTTGTATTCTCACCAACAGTGTACAAGGGTTCCCTTTTCTCCGCATCCTTGCCAGCGCTTATTATTTTTGGTGTTTTTTATTTTTTATAATAGTCATTCTAACAGGTGTGAGGTGATATCTTACTGTGATTTTGATTTGCATTTCTCTGATGATTAGTGATGTTGACCATCTTTTCATGTACCTGTTGGCCATCTATATGTATTCTTTGGAAAAATGACTTCAAATCTTCTACCTGTTTTTAATCAGATTGTTTTTTTTCTATTGAGTTGTACAAATTCTGTATAGATTTTGGATCTATAATTTGCAAATATTTCTCCCATTCATTATTAATAATATAAAAAA